ATATGCCACTTTAATAGAGCTGTTTTGAGTTCAAGACCAACATTTTCTCCAGTGTGGCTTCCATGAAAATGTTCAGTTTGCAGGACTTTTGACTGCAAATTCCAATCTTTAAGGTAGTGACAAGTGATGGTTAAGTACGAATCCGCAGACCTTGATGTCCATGCATCCGATGTTCAAACCAACTGCAAGGGCTTGATTAAGTTCACTTTGAAGTGCTGATTTCTCTTTTCTCCAACAGATTAGGTATCAGCTTCTCTGCCAATGTGTGCGATTTGGAGGTTGGTACCTGGGCTCCAAGGCAAATAACATTTTTCTAAATGGTTGGCTTTCGATGGTACTGAAAGGGCGCAGGTCCTGAATGAGATAATATACTACAGAGTTTGTAATCTCATTTGACTTTGCAAATGGAAGTTTTGCTTGTTGAGATATTGTCCATGGAATCGCTGATACTGATGAGGATGAGCAGCTGCTGCTTGCACTTGCAGTAACTGTATCAGAAACCTTTCCTGAAAAGATATGGAAAAATTCATTTTGGAGAATCCAAATTTGTAGACTTAGTGGAAGAAACTGATGATAAAATGGCTGAGAGGGTTTAATATTCGGCATCTTCTTCTGCCAAAGAAGGCTACTTTAAATATACCTGCTTTTACACATGGGAAGGTGTTAAGTTCTAAGGCTTTGAAAAGATCTAGAGGTATAGCCAAAGTCAGAATTCATGTGGAGAGGGCAATATGTAGAATGAAGACCTTTAAAATTCTGTCCGGCATCATACCACTTAAATTCAGATTTATTTTATTTCAAATCAAAATTGTTGCAGTTTTGTGTAACCTTCAGCCTTGCCTTGCACAATGACTCCAATACTCTGGGTTTCCCCTGTAAATTGTGAACATAACCAATATCCAGATATCATATAGTTGCAGTTTTGGTGAAGTTTTTGCATGTAAAACAAAGCAAAAAATAGAAAAAGATAGATGTATTATCATAGATATATTTATTTTCCATATCTATTGTGTAAAATCATGTTCATAAAGTTGTTAGCAAAGTTGAACAATACAATACTACACATTTCAGTGACAATGATTGTTTGTCAGAATAACAAATACACTAATTATAATAGTATTACAAATCATGAAATTTATATTCAAGAACAATAATTGTACTGTACATGTTTTATGATGTTCTATCAGACTATCATTCTTGACACATTACATTATTTTTACCATAGTCTCTTAGTATTCATAGTATGTAACATCTGGTGACTTATACATTGAAACAAACCTGTTAATGAGAAAAATAAAACTAGAAATGTGTCATCATGCCACGGATGCCCCCGCATGCAGCCAAAATTTCAGATGGTGCTTTAATTATTTTTTTCATTTTAAGTTCAAAGCCCTTAAAACTTTTCAATGTTAACACAAACCATTTTCATACAATGTTCAAGGCACTGAAATTATTCAGTCTAAACCTTTTAAAAATAGCATATTGCATATTTGTAGCCAAAATAATGGCTAAAAGTAAGAGTGCTGAAAGTGAAAGTTCAAAATTTTTCCAACATTCAGGAAAGATAAGTTTGTCTTAAATCATTGAACTACAACCAAATTCAAACTTAAACTGCTTATTCCTAAGATGTATCTATATTATTTTCAAAGTGAAAGGGACATAACTCTGCCAAAAACTCTGCCAAACCATGACCAAATTCCAACTTGACCTGCCCATTCCTTTGACATATCCATATTATTATGTCAAATTTAAGTTGAATATGTAACACTGTTGGGTAGATAATGAACAGAAACTGTAAATTTCATATTATTTTCAAAGTGAAAGGGGCATTACTCTGCCAAAAATCATTGAACCGTGACCAAACTCGAACTTGGTCTAGGCATTCCAAAAACATATCCATATGTCAAATTTGAGTTGAATGTGTTGTACCATTGGGGAGATAATAAACGGAAGCTGAAAATTTCATATTACTTTCAAAGTGAAAGGGGCATAACTCTGCCAAAAATCATTGAACCATGACCAAATTTAAACTTGACCTGCACATTCCTTTGACGCATCCATATGTCAAGTTTGAGTTGAATGTGTTGTACCTTTGGGGAGATAATGAACGGAAAGTGAAAATTTCATATTATTTTCAAAGTAAAAGGGGCATAACTCTGCCAAAAATCATCGAACCACGACCAAATTCGAACTTGACCTGTATTTTGTCATGACATATCCATATGTCAAGTTTGAGTTGAAAGTGTTGTACCGTTGGGGAGATAATGAACGGAAACTGAAAATTTCATATTATTTTCAAAGTAAAAGGGGCATAACTCTGCCAAAAATCATCGAACCATAACCAAATTCGAACTTGACCTGTATTTTCTCATGACATATCCATATGTCAAATTTGAGTTGAATGTGTGCAACCGTTCTTAAGATAATGAACGGAAACTGATGATGACGGAATGACAGAAGGACGGAAGGACGGAATGACGGAACAGGGTAACACTACATGCCCCGGCCATTACATGGCGGGGGCATAACAACATGGCTGAACGAGAATAATGTTTTCTTTGTTTGTTTTGGTGTTTTATTCAATACCATGGTAGTCAGTAAACCTACCCACAATTACTGGCAAAGTCCAGGCTTCTGTCACCCAAACTGTTTACCAGTACTAAGCATAAATGTTTATCCTACTTGGTTCAGTGACTCATTTCCAGTTATGGTCTATAAAATGACTTAATTCATGAACAGAGCATTAGACCTGTAATCATAGAGTATACCCTAAAAACATTATTCAACACTACATTTTGTCATTGACAACAGTAGAAAGTTGAAGAAATAATTGCTGAGATGAAACTACACAATTGTTGCTTTTAAAACTTGAAAATAACTATCTCTGTAAAATGAAATTAATTTATTTCTAACAGAGTCCCAAAAATCTTTATCAAAGTCTACACTAACAGTAGCTATCCCTTTATGTGTGTAAAGTACAAGGAATGCTTTAGTAATGCCAGTCATTGCCATCTGACCCAGTATTTGATAATAGTACTTGTGAGACTTTTTTAGAAATATGTCACCATCTTTTTCAATACAAATACCTGAAAGTTTCAGTGCATTATTTGGATGGAAGCATTTGTATTTGAATGAACACTTTATTTCAATAAGAAACTGGCCACATATCTTGCATGTAACAATACCATCAGGTGAACAAGCCAGACCAGGGAATAAACCATCCTCAGACAAAATAAGACCAGGTACATCAACACTACAATGTCTGTGTTTAAATCTATGAGCTTTAAGGAACATATTTCTAGCCTTAGATTCATACATTCTTCCAAATGAGATAGCTAGTGGCAAGCGTGATTCATCTAACCCAGGCTTGATCAAACTTTGTGCGGTCTTAGTAATATCAGTAGAACAACAAATCTGGTGAAAAGTCGAGGAGGTTAGAATGCCTTTTCTTAAAACATGCCAGTTGTTATGCCCCCGCCATGTAATGGCCGGGGCATATAGTGTTACCCTGTTCCGTCCTTCCGTCATTCCGTCCTTCCGTCATTCCGTCCTTCCGTCATTCTGTCATTCCGTCATCATCAGTTTCCGTTCATTATCTTAGTAACGGTTGCACATATTCAACTCAAATTTGGCATATGGATATGTCATGAGAAAATACAGGTCAAGTTCGAATTTGGTCATGGTTCGATGATTTTTGGCAGAGTTATGCCCCTTTTACTTTGAAAATAATATGAAATTTTCAGTTTCCGTTCATTATCTCCCCAACGGTACAACACATTCAACTCAAATTTGACATATGGATATGTCATGAGAAAATACAGGTCAAGTTTGAATTTGGTCATGGTTCGATGATTTTTGGCAGAGTTATGCTCCTTTTACTTTGAAAATAATATGAAATTTTCAGTTTCTGTTTATTATCTCCCCAACAGTACAACACATTCAACTCAAATTTCACATATGGATATGTTTTTGGAATGCCCAGGCCAAGTTCGAATTTGGTCATGGTTCAATGATTTTTGGCAGAGTAATGCCCCTTTCACTTTGAAAATAATATGAAATTTACAGTTTCTGTTCATTATCTACCCAACAGTGTTACATATTCAACTCAAATTTGACATATGGATATGTCAAAGGAATGGGCAGGTCAAGTTGGAATTTGGTCATGGTTCGATGATTTTTTGGCAGAGTTATGTCCCTTTCACTTTGAAAATAATATAGATACATCTTAGGAATAAGCAGTTTAAGTTTGAATTTGGTCATGGTTCAATGATTTTGGACAAACTTATCTTTCTTGAATATTGGAAAAAATTTGAACTTTCAGTTTTCAGCACTCATACTTTTGTGGAAATGTATGTAGCCATTATTTTGGCTACAAATATGAAATATGCTATTTTCAAAAGGTTAAGACTGAATAATTTCAGTGCCTTGAACATTGTATGAAAATGGTTTGTGTAAACGTTGAAAAGTTTTAAGGGCTTTGAACTTAAAATGAAAACAATAATTTGTGCAAACAAATTTGGAACTAAATATTATAACATCTGAAATTTTGGCTGCATGCGGGGGCATCCGTGGCATGATGACACATTTCTAGTTATTTTTACATTGACCTCTGGTTATTTCTTCAATTTCTGAACATTGCTCAGGAGTGTAAGGTAAATGATAATACAAAAATATGGTAGCACATGAGCAAGTATCAGTAATACATGTATGTGAAGAAACAAATGATGCTAACTTTTGCATTGGTGTTATTAACCAGGTTTTCAATTTTGAAAATCCTGGTTATTAGATTGGGGTATGGCGGGCGGATGGGCGGGCGGGCGTCAAACGAAATTGTGTCCGCTCTGTAACTCTTCAACCCTTTGAAGAATTTTGATGAAACTTCAGACAAATGTTTACCACATCAAGATGACGTGCAGAACGCATGTTCCGCATGGCTGGCTCCAAGGTCAAGGTCACAGTGACATTAACATTGAAAATCCTGTCCGCTCTGTAACTCTTCAACCCTTTGAAGAATTTTGATGAAACTTCAGACAAATGTTTACCACATCAAGATGACGTGCAGAACGCATGTTCCGCATGGCTGGCTCCAAGGTCAAGGTCACAGTGACATTAACATTGAAAATCCTGTTTACATGATTTTAACTTGATTTGGCAGTCAAAGGTCATATCATCTTTGGAGGTAATTTAAAAAAGATATGATATATTATTTCATGTCTACTTTGTAACTTGTTTTTCATTATACAGAATTATCAATATAATTATAGTGAACAAATTCTTCTGTGCTGAACTCGTCCTACATTTCTCAACGGATTTTGTTCAAACTTTCACAGAAGCTTTGTCATCAAGCACCCTGGCACATATTGTCGGGGTTTTGTGATTGGATAGTTTTTGACCTAATTATGGCCCTTTGTTTTTTTCCTTATACATAATATTATAGTGAACACTTCTTCAGTGGCAATTCCTCCTACATTATTCATGTTTTACATTGCACATAGTTACATTGTTTGTTGCTTGTATTTGTATTTCAAATACAACATATTTATCTACAATGGTGATAATTGAAAACCTGGTTTCATGGCATTGCCATGTTTCTTGTTACTGTTAGAGCAGGCTGAGCAATTAAGGCAGCTGTTGTTTTAAAAACAGATTTTACTAGGCATGCATTTGGACACAATGTCTGTAACTGCTTCAAAAACACATCTGGATCTGGTTTAGGAACATCCTCAGCCAAAGGACAATAGTTTGGTCTTGTTGTCTGGCAGCTAAAAAATAGAAATGTTTATTTTGCGAATGATAATAATACTATTTACTAGTATTTAGAAAACCAGTATATTAATGAATTACAATATGAAAAAATGAAATGAATAAATGTGATGACATTCATACAAAAATAAATCATATAAATACATTAAAGAAATGTCTTAATGAAAGACTAATAATTAATTCAAGTAAACTATCATCAATTTAGAGGTTGTTCATTTAATAAGTTTTACCTTGATGAAGATAATACAGATGTATCTAGGTCAGCAGCAGGAATAGGCTGGGATAATTTGTCTGCTTCACAGGCTCTCCTTTTCCATGTGCAGGGTTTAGATGTACAGGTGGTCTTTGATTCATCATTCAGGAAGTCATTGACCTCAAACAGTGTGGCTACTACATGTCTACAGCTGCCATCTATCCTGTAAACATACATTAGTGAACTTGAATTTGTCAATGGAGTTTACAAAACCTAAAAACATTGGTGTGGGACTGAGTCAGCACATGCAGATCCTTTTATTAAAGACACTGATTATACTAGACAAATGATTTAATATGAAAATCATTATTATTCCACATGGCATTAAGACTAGGAATAACAATACTACTTGATATATAACAATACTGTACACAAATGAATATCACTTAATACTCACCCTCCTTTACATGTACAGTATGCTGAATGAATGCACCCTTCTGATGTAATAACAAGCCAACACTGGTAGTATTTGCGTTTAGTGAGAGGGTCCTTGTCCTTCACTCTGGGTCTGACTTGTCCTTTTAGGGCTACATAGTCTGAAATTTAAAGAGGGGTAATATTTAATGAGCATAGCAATCACAGGCTATTTTTAAAAGAATCCAGTAGCATGCAAAAGTACATAAAATCATTTCAAATATTGACACATGTATGTGCACTTTAAATAAAATATAATCATTTCAGGACTTAATACTACTCAATGGAACTTTAAATAGTTTAAAGATGATAAATATTACCTGGAGAATCATACGATGCTGAGGTCAGATCAATGACATATCCGTCCCTGAACATCGTGTACCCCTCAAGCTTGTGGTAATCTCGTAGCGTACTGTGAGTGAATTCGTCGTACCCCAGTAGATAGTTGTAGATATCAAATATAGACACACGAGGAATTTTGGAAAGGTCATAAGTGCCTGCTATTAGTTGTGGATTAACTAATGTATTTCCATGCACACATAGTTTGGCATCCAGCACCTCACTTCTGTCCTCCACCAGCCCGTCCGGGTCAACCTCAATGTTCAGCTCTGCTGCATATCTGCACAGGTCGACCAATTCGGCTTTTCTAGTGTTAGCATATGTAACGCCTCGCTATCTTAAGTACTTTTGGAGGTCTGTTACGGAGTTTGACTTAAATTTATCCATAGAGCTACAGTTTATTAACACTTGAATCAACCGCGCCGTCAAAAGTTTAGCAATATGGCTGCGGTTTGTTTGTACCGGGTCACGTGATTTGATATTGGGAAAAAACCCATAATGACGTAGTTCCGGAGTAACTCTATTGGTTAGCATATCCAAAATGTCGATCTACCAGTTCGGCGAATGTATTTTGTACATGAACGGCAATAATAAAAAACTAGTGCTTTTTGCAAACCAATTTTCATGTAGTGTTAAAGAAATTAAGTTACTGGATATGTTATTATCGTTGGCGTTATAAATATAATGGTTTCAGCGAACTTAACTTATGAGGAGGTGCAAAAGCGGTTTCGTCGGTCTTTTTGTATGATATTTTTAAAAACGCAACATATTTAGCTGACTGGTCTGTAAAGATATCTATTGTGTGTTTACTAGTTCAGCTAAAATATTTACAAATAGATCAGTACAAATTTTCAGTCTGTTGGTGTAATCACCTTATCAATAACAAAATATGCTACTAAAACTTGACATTCCAGCCACTCAAAGACTTAAATAAGCCTTCGAAATAGCACATGATATTATTGTAAAGGGCTATAAAAAACCTAGTGATAAAAGATATTGAAATCATATTTCTATTGAATCAGTACAATATACGTGCATATTTCTCACAGGTAAGTGATTTTATGCAAAATAGAGTGGTCTCCATAGTCTTTTATAGTGAATATAATTTTGGACCCCTAAAATTCAGGCCTGGACCCCTACTTTTCTAGGCTGTGCATTCACTGGACCCCTAAAATTTCAAAGAGATGTAAAATCCTGTTGGCACTACATGCAGTTATGAATTACTTCAACAATTTAGCAGAAACATAATCGTGCATCTACATGTAATTAATACATACAAAATGACTCGCTGGACCCCTATTACTTGGGATATACAGGATATTATTTACAAAGAATTAAGTATTACATGTTTAACATATATCAAATCTTTGTGCTTATTAATTGTTGTTAGTAAATCAAAACTTTTAATTTAAAAATATGAAAAGCGTAATTTTAATGGGTTAATAATGTAAAACCTTACAGTCATTTGTCATTTTCATTTTCCTGAAGTAATACGATAATGATATAATAAATGTAGAAAGCAGTTTCTGTCGAAAAGTTGAAGCACTGGCTGTTATTTCTTTGTTATTTGGCAAAAGAAACTTACATGATGAAAGAATAAAAGAAGAAAATGCAATGTGGCTGCCTTAAAATCTATCTACAAGAAAAATCTGAAGAAAAATTAATAACAAAAAAAGAATGATCTTTATTGAACTTTTTGGCTCCATAACTAAAATGGTTGATGTTTTGTCAATTTGGTAAACAGTTTTCCAATTCTGGCACCTTGTTTTATTATGTTGTATAATTTGACTGTTTCTGACCCTGCAACAGCATTCAGTATCTTATTACTAAACATGTATAATTGGTGTAACAAGAGCCGGTGGAACCGGGTGATGCTCCCCGACTAGGTTTTGGACACAGAAAAGTATATCTTTTGTAGATTCAGAGTTATGTCCCAGACAAAGTACAAAGTGTGATAATTCCAAACTTAGGCAAGGCAGTCAGTTACTGTTCATTGCATAAATTTCACTTTTACTCAATGAGATCTATATACCGACTTGCCCCAGCACGTCATCTCAATATGATGTGAAATAGTTGTAAATCCGACTTTAAATAACAAAGTTATGGGCTGGACACGATTTTGCTGCAAAGTCATGCTGTGACCTTGACCTTCAAGATAGCAACCCAAATGATGCGGGCGACACAATGTCATCATCTCAATATGGTGTCATTTCTGTGAAATAGTTGTAAAATCTGATTTCAAACTACAGTTTTACTTATGGGATGGACACGATTGTGCTGCAAGGTCATGCTGTGACCTTGACCTTCAAGGTAGCGAACTAAATGTTGCTTGGACACGTCATCTCAATATGGTGATCATTTCTGTGAAATAGCTGTAAAATCCGATTTCAAATATCGAAGTTATGGGCTGAACACGATTTTGCTGCATGGTTATGATGTGACCTTGACCTTCAAGGAAGAAACCCAAATGTTGCTTGCGACACGTTGTCTCAATATGGTGATCATTTCTGCGAAATAGTTGTATAATTTCGGTTTCAAATAACGAAGTTATGGGCCGGACACGATTTTGCTGCATGATCATACTATGACCTTGACCTTCAAGGTAGCGACCCAAATGTTGGTGCGACACCTTGTCTCAATTTGGTGATCATTTCTGTGAAATAGTTGTAAAATACGATTTCAAATAACGAAGTTATGGGCCGGACATGATTTTTATTTTTCTGTTAAAGCATAAGAAAGATGAAAAGGTTGTTGAATGTGAATGTTAATTCAAAACAGAGTCAATCAGAATAGCACAAATTTGAGAGCTACAGTGAAGTTGATTTCCCCATTCAATAATGGATTCTTCCATTAATTTCGTAACACCATCAGAAAGGAGACTGTCATTTCCGAAATACAATGTAAAATATTTTGGTTCTCGAAAATGACTTAAACATTTTATTGTGTTAAGATATTGCACAAAGAAAAAAAAAGTGAACAAAAAATGTTGTATTTTTTTCACTAAGATAAAAGTTTAATTTACAGTACGGATATTACTTTTACATCCTTCCGGTTTGCGGGAAAAATCATATATTTCAACATTGTGTACACCGGTCTTACTGATGAACGAATTATGTCATGATATTTCATTCTGAGAACAAACATACAATACAAATCATTAAATAATGCATATCAATCAGTCCATTCAACAACTTTGCCTCAGAAAAAATCTGTATCAATCTGACCTCGAGTTGAGATTATAAATAGAACTAAACCGGAAGTATGACAAAATGGTAGGCTTGGTAGCCATGCATATGAAAATTGAGAAATTTTGTAACATAAACTCGTATTCCATAACAAAGAAGTGAAGATGAATACAAATATCGGTGTGCTTCGTTGAAACAGGTATTTTGTTAACTATTTGTGAAGTACTAAGGCATGACATTCAGTATTTATGTAAATATCACCTCCCGTGTTATGATTTCTAAAATTATACATGTACACATGTGTTATTGACCTCAATAAATGAAAGTGAAAATGGAACAATTATTATGGTAATTATCCATGGTGCTAGTAATACTTAATTATTTTTGTGCCCCCACTTTAGTGGCGGGCATTTAGATTTACCCCTGTCCGTCCGTCCCTCTGTCCGAGCAAACAGTTTGGGTTTAGGGGCAATATAACAGTAAAGAGAACAAAAAAGAACAATAGGTTCATTCCGTGATCAAAGGGTTTATGGGCTAGTAGCGAAAACAAAGAAAATAACAAAGAAAATAGCCCCTAAACCCAAAATGTTGGAACATCCGTCCATCCGTCCTGCCGTCAGTCCGTTCTCTTTTGTGTCGCACATAACTCAAAAAGTATTTGACCGAGAGTCATGAAACGTTACAGGAATGTTGATCAGCATGTGTAGTTGTGCACCTGGGTATTTTGGTCTGGATATTTTCAGTATATTTAGAGTGATTGTCCTTGACTTAGTAAAATTTTGCAATTTTCAACTTGTGTCACATGTAACTCAAAAAGTAATTGACCTAGAGCCATGAAACTTTACTTAAATGTTGAGCAGCATGTGTAGTTGTGCACCTGGGTATTTTCGTTTTGACATTTTTAGTATTTTTAGAGTGATTGCCCTTCACTTAGTAAAATTTTGCAGTTTTCAACTTGTGTCGCATGTAACTCAAAAAGTATTTGACCTAGTGTCACGAAACTAAATTGAAGGAATGTTGATCAGCATGTATAGTTGTGCACCTGGGTATTTTGGTCTGGGTATTTTAAGTATTTGAAGAGTAAATGCCCTTGACTTAGTAAAATTTTGCAATTTTCAACTTGTGTCGCATTTAACTCAAAAAGTATTTGACCTAGAGTCATGAAACTTTACAGGAATGTTGATCAGCATGTATAGTTGTGCACCTGGGTATTTTGGTCTGGATATTTTCAGTATTTGAAGAGTTAATGCCCCTTGACTTAGTAAAATTTTGCAATTTTCAACTTGTGTCGCACATAACTCAAAAAGTATTTTACCTAGAGTCATGAAACTTTACAGGAATGTTGATCAGCATGTGAAGTTGTGCACCTGTGTATTTTTGTGTGGATATTTTCAGTATTTTTAGAGTAATTGCCCTTGACTTAGTAAAATTTTGCAATTTTTAACTTGTGTCGCAAGTAACTCAAAAAGTATTTGACCTAGAGTCATGAAACTTTACTTGAATGTTGATCAGCATGTGTAGTTGTGCACCTGGGTATTTTCATCTGTATATTTTCAGTATTTGAAGAGTGATTGCCCTTCACTTAGTAAAATTTTGCAATTTTCAACTTGTGTCGCATGTAACTCAAAAAGTATTTGACCTAGTGTCATGAAACTTTACAGGAATGTTGATTAGCGTGTGTAGTTGTGCACCTGGGTATTTTGGTCTGGATATTTTCAGTATTTTTAGAGTTATTGCCCTTGACTAAGTAAAATTTTGCAATTTTCAATTTGTGGTGCATGTAACTCAAAAAGTATTTGACATAGTGTCATGAAACTTTACAGGAATGTTGATCAGCATGTGTAATTGTGCACCTGGGTATTTTCGTCTCGACATTTTTAGTATTTTTAGAGTGATTGCCCTTGACTTAGTAAAATTTTGCAATTTTCAACTTGTGTCGCATGTAACTCAAAAAGTATTTGACCTAGTGTCATGAAACTTTACAGGAATGTTGATCAGCATGTGTAGTTGTGCACCTGGGTATTTTGGTCTGGATATTTTCAGTGTTTTTAGAGTTATTGCCCTTGACTTAGTAAAATTTTGCAATTTTCAATTTGTGGCACATGTAACTCAAAAAGTATTTGACATAGAGTCATGAAACTTTACAGAAATATTCAGATCAGCATGTAAAGTTGTGCACCTGGGTATTTCCGTCTGGATTTATTTAGTATTTTTAGAGTTAGTGCCCTTGACTTAGAAAATTTTTGCAATTTTCAACTTGTGTCGCATGT